TTTCTCTGAAACAGTTGGAGCTTAGAAGAAGGTTTACAGCAGGAGCTACAAACTGCCGCATCTGAGATACACTTGCTCAAAAGTTCGGCATCCTGTAGTTTGTAGCCAGAACAACGTCTACACTGGACACGGGTCCTAGACTGACGTGTCGCGCTTGTTGACGAGTGAAAACATGTTCATTGTTCTCAAATTTTTCAAACGAGCTGTTTAGCAACTTTTTTGTTGAAATACTTTCCCTTTCCGAAGGCAAAACAGAGGTAGAAATGCCAGTAACGGCCGCGGAACTTTCAGGATTCAAATGCGTAATGCTATCGTTGTTCACAGATGTCGAAGTTTCTTGCGGTCTTTTCCCAAAAAATCCTCTCATTTTCTTTCTCTTTGTCGATCTAAACTTTCTTTTATCATCTCTAGCCATATTTATAAAAAAAACCTAAAAAAAACGTTGTCTAATATACTCGATTGAAATGGATTTATCAGTGTTCACTTTTTGTGTTTGTCAGCCATATTAGCATTTCAAAACAAAAACACGTTGCGTTTGAACTTGGAGGTCTGGACACAAGTTAAAAGCTCATTTTCAGAGGGGATAGGGTCAAAATGACCTTAGCAACAAAAGTAAACAAACTCTTGTATAGTTGAAATATAAAACAACGGTAACTCCGAAAATAAACATTTTAATATTCTAGCTTTCGACTAAGATTCAGTCATCATCAGGAATGATGCTAGGTTACATTACATCGATATGTATATATATATATATAAATATATAAATAGCAATAAGGACCCTATTCCTTAAATAGCAATAAGGACCAGTGATCAGATCTGTCTATAATCTTAGAGTTAGTAAATATAAATTCTAAAAGTCTACAAGTTAGAGTTGGGTTAGTTTCTTCTTCTGGATAAAGATGAATACGATAACATGAGACCTGTCTCGACTAAACCAGTACGAGTACATGGCTTACCTAAAATTCATAAAACCTTTGATACTTTACCTCCTTTCCAACCAATAATTGACACAACAGGAACTGCTTACCAACCAGTTGCTAAATTCTTAATACAACTTTTGAATCCTATAACAACTAATGAATTTACACTAAGAGAGATAGTTTTGACGCAGTAACCCAAATTAATAACATTCCACACAATCTTTTCGATGATGGATATAGATTTGTTTCTTTTGATGTCAAATCTCTTTTTACTAATATACCACTTAAGAAAACTGTCAACATAATTCTTAATCGTATCTATAAAACTAATCTTATTCCCACTACACTAAGAAAACGGACACTTAAGAAACTAATACTTGACTCTTGCACAAAAATCATTTTCTCTCTAAATGGTCAACTTTACAGACAAACTGATGGCGTCTCAATGGGTTCGCCGCTTGGTCCCACTCTTGCTAATATAATCATGACTGAATTTGAAGAACTAATTATTAAACCACTAATAAACTCTGGTACGATCAAATTCTATAAACGATATGTTGATGACACACTTATTCTTACCAAACCCTCAGACTTAATAACATACTATCTAAATTTAACTCATTTCATCCTAACATTCAATTTACTATAGACGAATTTAATAACAATGACGTCCATCTTCTTGATATCCAAATTCATTCTTCTGGTATTCTGTCTACAGAAAACCTACTCACACTGGTCAATACCAACATATATCTAGCTTCTCGCCTTGGTCAAGAAAAGTAGCCTGGATACGAGCTCTTGTCCACCGCGCATATAAAATCTACAATACTGAAGACCTCCTGAAAGATGAACTACAACACATCCAAAACTTTTTGTCATGGAATGGTTTCCCTCGAAAATTGTCATTAAAACTAATTGATCAATTCAAACCGTCTGCAACATCTAACATTAACGTTATACATCAAGATAACCCTGATACTGCTCTATTTAGCTCTAACTAACCCTGTCCCTAAAATCTGGCTACCTTTACCCTATCTTGGCAAACATGGTACCCGACTAACCCGCTCATTTATACATAGAATAACCCCACTACTAAAATTGAAATGCAATATCATCATTAATTGGAAAACTACTAACAGCATCTCATTCCTCTCAAACAAAGATAAAACACCGGCTAATTACCAAAGATCTGTAGTGTACGAATTCACCTGTCCTGGATGTAAAAGTAGATACATCGGTAAAACAGATCTATTTCTACGCCAGAATCAAAGAACACTCACTGGACAACAAATCTGAAGTCTTTAACCACATCACATCATGCGAACACTTTCAACATATCAAATCCATTTTAGAACTGTATCCAGACGAAGAAACTAACCCAACTCTAACTTGTATACTTTCAGAATTTATATTTACTAACTCTAAGATTATAGACAGATCTGATCACTGGTCCCTATTGCTATTTAAGGAAGCACTTGCCATTAGACGCCTTAAACCTGAACTTAATCACGGAACTAAGGCATCAAAAGAACTTGTAATATTTAGCTAATCGTTTCTGTACATATTAAATTACTTATTATATAATCTTCACTATATATATATATATATATATATATATATATATATATATATATATATATATATATATATATATATAATAATAGTCTGTGTTAGGTAATAAAAACCAATGATAGAGTGCTCAATGGATAACCAGAGCATAATAGAAAGACACAAAAACTTAGCAAGCTTTGTTTGGCATATTTATTACTATACAGTTTCGTACCTAGTTACTATACAGTTTTCGTACCTAGTTTCGTACCTAGTTAGTTTGGCATATTTATTACTATACAGTTTCGTACGTAGTTTTGTTTGGCATATTTATTACTATACAGTTACGTGGTACGAAACTGTATAGTAATAAATATGCCAAACAGAGCTTGCTAAGTTTTTGTGTCTTTCTATATATATATATATATATATATATATATATATATATATATATATATATATATATATATATATATGTATGTATATATATATATATATATATATATATATATATATATATATATATATATATATATATATATATATAACCAACAATGAGACGATGGATGTGGGACGCATGAATATATATACGACAAGAACGCCATTCAACCTAATGGCGTTCTTGTCGTATATATATTCATGCGTCCCACATCCATCGTCTCATTGTTGGTTGTATAAATACTTTTCGGATGAAAAGCTCACTATCAGCTACACTGCGCTGACGAGCCCCAAAAGGGCGAAACAGCTGTCCGCAGTTGCTGGTAGTGAGCTTGGGGCACAATTGCCTTTAGGCCTTTGCGTTGATTTAAATCTGTGACATGCAGAGATCATGCGTATTAGGTTGAATGGCGTTCTTGTCGTATATATAATTCATGCGTCCCACATCCATCGTCTCATTGTTGTTTTATATATATATATATATATATATATATATATATATATATATATATATATATATATATATATATATATATATATATATATATATATATATATATATATATATATATATATATATATATATATATAGTTTCACGATCGTGAAACTCAGAGTAGCGAAAAAACATTGTTATTTTAATATATATATATATATATATATATATATATATATATAGCTTAAGATTTTGGTTTACGAAACACAAACAGTGCTCAATACCGTATAGACAGAGCGTAATATAGTTTTTCGTTTTACCTCAAAAAACAACAACAGTCTGTTTCATCCGTATAGGAATCATCACCTGATGATTCCTATACGGATGAAACAGACTGTTGTGGTTTTTTGAGGTAAAACGAAAAACTATATCTATATATTTATATATATATATATATATATATATATATATATATATATATATATATATATATATATATATATATATATATATATATATATATATATATATATAAATGTATATATATATACGTGGAGGTTTGTCTATCGTCACCGGTTTGAATTTGCACGCGCTAAATTTTTCCTTGTGACAGCACTTTGCATAAAACTCTGATCGCGTGTTCAGTGAATTGTTTCCTTTCGCTTTCAGGATACATAATTTCTCTTCCAAACAGAGGCCACATCGCTTTCCACCAGGCGTGTACGCAGCAGCTCATTTCAAGATGGACCACTTGATGCTGTAATTTCTTCTACTTTGCTTCAGACTCCAAATGTACTTCGAAAGCTTTGTGTCAGACGAGTGGTTGTAGAGGTTGAATGACGTTTTGTGGTTGGCGTATCTTTCTTTGAATGGATTGGCCGTCATTCCAATGTACTCTTTTGTATTTCTGTCATCAGTTGTCACCGTGGCTTTATAGACAATGTTGTCTACTTTGCACTTTCCGTCTAGTGGGCATTCATCTGTTTTTTGGCAGTTGCATGGGACAGGTTTTTGTGTAGGGTTTTTCTTTAACAGGCGATGGTTATGTCGGGATATTATGGTTTTGATATTCTCCATGCAGGAGTAGCTAACTTTGACTGTGTTGCGGTTAAAGACCTTATGGAGCGGGTTGGTAGAAGGGAAATGTTTATCAATTAACTGTAGGAAATTTCGACCGATGTTAGTTCGAACTGTTTTGCTGAAGGGTGGATTAAACCAATTGATGTTTCTACGACGTCTTCGGTTGGTAGATGGCAAACTGGAGGAATTATCACCGGCCGAGTATTGCAGAGGTACATCGTAGTTGCTGCGCTTAAGCGCATCTTCGTAGAGTGGTGCAGCAGAATC